GGAGGCAAACGATCAATGACTCTTTCTCATCAGTCATGTCTCTTTCTCTCCGTCTCCCCTCCTGTCTCTGAAAGCCATAAAAAACATATTTTAGAAAAATAACTAGAAAGACGTTTCTGGTTTTCTGGAGTGGTGATCTGATTAAGCACATTCCTGAGTTTTTGGCATCCTTCCCCCTCCCCCACTGCTTTTCTTTTCAGAAAGTGGACAGGAGGGAGAGAAAGAGAAAACGAAAGAGAGACACATGGACTGGTTGCCTCCCACACGCAGGCGCCGGGCCTGCAGCCGGGTACGAGCCTTTGACCAGCGTCAAACTGAGGCCCTTCAGTCCCACAGCCAGTGCTCCAGCCACGGAGCATCCGCCAGGGCTCGCGTCCTTGAACATGGGCGAGGCTAGTAATTTTAAGATAGTATCCTCCTCAAGACCAAAAATACACCATTGATAAAAACTGATCACATGTAAAGCACACGCCTAAAACTAATATAAAATAATATTGAATGTCGACTGTAATGGGAATTTTTTGTTGTTGTTAACCCTCACTCAAGGATATTTTTTCCATTGGTTTTTAGAGAGAGTGAAAGGGAGGGAGGGGGGAGGAAACATTGATGTGAGAGACACATGGATTGGTTCCCTCCTGAGTGGGCCCCAAGAGGGGCCCAGGATAAAACCTGCAACCCAGGTACCTGCCTTTAACCAGGAATGGAACCTGTGACCCTTTGGTGCGCTGGCCGAAGCTCTAACCACTGAGCGAGCAACACCTGCCAGGGCTGTAAATGAAAATTTTTTTAATTAAACTTTTTTCAGTTATAGCAGTAATATGCGTTTGCCTACCAGAAAAAAATGAAGAGTACAAATTTGTTAACGTAAAGCACAAAAACAATCAGTGAGATCAAATACCTAACAAATGCAAGATAGGCACATGTTGGAGGTTAGCAAATGGCTCAATAATTGCAAATGTAATAACATAAATCATTGCCAGGTAAACCTGAGCCTCTTCGTGGAGAGGAGGAAAAGACAGGAAGGGAAGAGCCCCAGGACTACAGGGCCAAAGGGAGAATCAAGTGGCTCATTTTGAGGCTACATTATGAATGTCCCTTTGTTTTGGTTCTACGTAGATTTGAAAAGTCAAAATCAGGGAGGGAAAGTCACAAAGTTAAAAATAATATATTTCTTAACCAAAATATTTAGAGGAATAAAGCAAGCAAATTTTTAATGAATTTTTCTATACTTTTTTTTTAAGCCAATGAGTTTAAATTTGCTTTAAATTCTACCAAAGAGTTTGCTGGAGGCAAACAACCAATGACTTTCTCATCAATAATGTTTCTATCTCTCTCTCTGCCTCCCTTCCTCTCTCTGAAATCAATAAAAAACATGTTTTTTTTAA